CCGGGGGGGGGGGTATGACCATGCTGCGATCGCTTCTCTTGGGCACGCACGCACACATGCCTGGTGTGAGTTTAAGCCACTGGGCCCAGGACTCGAACCCTGATCGACTATATGGGAGTCTAGCGACATAGCTATTATGCTAACTGCTGGTCTCACCCTTGATCCTCTTAACCAAGCTGTGTCAGGGTATGAGTTTCTTCTTCCTGGGTTGGGAAATAGGACTCTGGGCTCTTTGAGGAACAGACTGGGGATGAAAGAAAGAACTGGATGGTTTCTGGCCTTGGCCTGTGGTAACCTTCTCCTGTGCTAACGCTGATCCTGATCATACAGCCACTGAAGTGCTTTCCCTATAATCTATTTCAACCTCTTAATGCTTCTGCAGGGGGCTCATTCCCTTTTCTGAGACAAGGACACTGAGAGTAAGAGATGTTCCTGGGCTAGCCAGTGGTGTAGAGGTTAAGACAGCCGGATCCCACACTGCAAACTGTGTGGTTCAAGTCCTAAACCCAGTGGTTTGAAGTACACATTGGGCGTGTATATGCGTGTCCAAATTCCTAGGAGGAGAATAGAGGAGAAGGGGATTGTGGTGTGGCTATCACCCCTGCGGGTTGCTTTTTTACTTTCTCTCTCCCTCTTTCTCTGTTTCTCCCTGGCAAGTATATGTATCCATAGCAAATTAAAACAAAACAAAACAAAACAAAAACAAAAGACCTCCCTAAGAGTGTTTGGTGAAGGACATGATAGGTAGAACTGGGACAAGTGTGAACTACTAGTCCTATCACTAATACCAGCTTTGACCCACCTCCCTTTTGGCATTCAGTAGAGACTGGTTGCCTTGACTCCAAAGCTCCTGTTCTCCCTACACTGTTTGGTTTCTTTGGGCTCTCTGCTTCCCAAGACTTCAGTTCTGATGTCTTCAGCAGAGGGTATGACATTTAGCTCTATGAGAGAGCAGTGGCAAGGGAGGGTCTTTCTCAGGGTCTTGAGCTGACAACCCAGGAAGCTATACTGGTAGGATATGGGGGGCATGAGTTCTGGGTCCTATGAGGATTCCCACAGTGCTATGCGTCCTGCTGGCTCCTGGCTAGCGAGTCCTGTCCACCTCTTCGGTGAACTGCCCCTTGTGTTGGAAGCTTCCTTCCCAGAGGCTTCTGGAATTTCTGATAGCTGTGTGGGGTGAATCTTCACTCCTTCCTCTGCAAGGGTTTATTCTTGCCTAGGACCTCATCCTTTTAGGCCAGTATTTCTCATCTTAGCCTGCATCAGCATTACCTCGAGGTTTTGTTAAAGCAGATGACTGGGTACTATGGTTTCAGTGTGTCCCTCCAAAATTCATGTATTGAAATCTGGGACCAATGTAACAGCGTTGATAGTGTGGAGACTTAATCTGACTGTGGTGCTGAAAGGTGGGATTTGCCAGGGTGATTGGTATTAGGGTGGAACCCCCATGATTGTATACTTGTGGATTTATAAGGAGACACAGACATATGCTCTTGCTCAAGTTCTTGCCGTGTGATACCCTGTACTTCCTCAGGACTCGACCAAGACCCCCGTCAGATACCCCACTCAACCTTGGACCTTTAACCTTAACCCTACTCAAAACCTTGAGCTAAATAAACCTCTATTCTTGATAAATTACCCAGACTTGGGTTTTCTGTTATTAGCAACACAATAGACTAGAACACTGGGTTCCAATTCCAGAGTTTCTTAGTAAATCTAGGGTGACCTGAGAATTTACATACCTAACACATTCCCGGGTGATACTGATACTATCAGAAACACTATAAACTAAATGACTAACTGAGAAGGTCTAGGTTGTCCAACCCTACACATTTCAAAGAAAGTTTTAGCTTCTTCTGGTTCCTAAACCGATGGGCTATACTGCTTGTAAGAGTGCCTTTGCTTATTGTGGGCCTTGGGCCACACCAGATAGTCAGAACTAAAAATATGATTTATAGGGGCCAGCAAGTAGCATGGTGATTAAGGCGCTGGACTCCCACATGGCCGATTGCATTGTGAGTCCCAGACCTCTAGACTTGCTTGCTCACTTCCCTCTCTTTCTCTCTCTCTTTGTCTCTCTCTGGTGAATGCATGTGCTCTATCACAAATTAAACAGATAAATAAAAAGACTAAATAAATAATAATAATTATTTTTTTTTCAGAGAGTTCTTTTTGCTATAGGGTGTGTACACTTGCTGGAGAAATAGAGATGGAGAGAGAGAAAGTGAGAAATCACTCCTCAGTTGGCCATGTGTGAATCCAGTCCCTTAACCACTACTTTACCTGTAGACCCCAAATAAATAATTATTTTTAAAAAATGTTCTTGAGACCAGCAGATGGTGTAATGGTTGCATTGTTGGACTCCCACATAGTCGATTGTGGTTCAAGTCCTAGGCCTAGAGGCTTAAAACTCATGTTGGGGGAACCAGCAGTTAGCGTAATGGCTATGTCGCTGGACTCCCACGTAGTCGACCGCGGTTTGCGTCCCGGACCTGGTGGCTTAAAACTCACGCCAGGTGCGTGTGCATGTGTGCCCAGGATCCCGAGAGGAGAATGGAGGAGAAGGGATTGTGGCATGACCATCTCCCCTGGGGAGGTGATTTCTCGCTTTCTGTCTTTCTGTCTCTGTCTGTCTGGCGAGCGTACGCGCCCTATAGCGAAAACCTCTCAAAAAAAAAACAACAAAAACCACCTCATGCTGGGCATGTGTGCGTGAGTGTCCAAAATCCCAAGGGGAGAATGAAGAGGAAGGGATTGCAGCATGGTCACCCCTGGGGAGAGAGGTGATTTCTCACTTTCTGTCTTTCTCTGTGTCTCCACTAAGTGTATGTGCCCTACAATAAGAATCTCTCTCTAAAAAAACGTTCTTAGGGACCAGATGATGACATCATGGTTACATTGCTGGACTCCCACATGGTCACCTGTGGTTCAAGTCCTGGACCCAGCAGCTTCAAACCCATGCTGGGTGTGTGTGCATGGGTGCTCCAAATTCTGAGAGTAGAAGAGAAGGGATTGAAGACTGGCCATTCTCCCTGAAGTGGGGGGGGCTGTGATTTTTAACTTTCTGTCTCTCTGTTTCTCTTTGTCTCTCCAGAGAGTGCATATGTGCCCTACAGTAAAAAAAAATCTCTCAAAAAAACGTTCTCTGGGCCGGCAGGTGGCATGGTGGTTAAGGATGCTGGACTCCCACATGGCCGACCATGGTTCAAGTCCTGGACCTGGTAGCTTCCTTTCTCACTTCCCTCTCTCTGTCTCTCTGGTCAAACTGGAAAATAATAATAAAGTTAAAATAAAATAATTCTTTTTAAAAAGAATTATTTTGGGACCAGCAGGTAGCATAATGACTACGTTGCTGGATTCCCATGTAGTTAACCGTGGTTTGAGTCCCGGACCAGGTGGCTTAAACTCACGCTGGGTGCATGTGGGTGTGTGCCCAAGATCCTGAGAGGAGATTGGAGAAGAGATCATGGCATGGCCACTCCCCCTGGGGGGTGATTTCTTGCTTTGTCTCTCTGTCTCTCTCTGTCTTTCTGGCGAGCACATGCACCCTATAGCAAAAACTTCCCCCCCCCCAAAAAAAATTATTTTACATTTATTTAGTTATTTTTAAATTTGACAGGGGAGAGACAGAGAGAGAGAGAGAGAGAGAAAACAAGCTGCTAGGTCTGGGACTCATACCTTGGTCGGCCATGTGGGAGTTCAGTGCCCTTAACTACTATGCCACCTGCCGGCCCCAAAATAAACTATTAAAAATGTTTTTAAAAAGTTCTAAATATATATATATATGATTTATGGGGTGAGCAGGTGGAGATCAAGGCAGCTGGATTCCATATAGCCAACTTTGTGGTTTAAGTTCTGAATCCGTAGCTTGAATCATGCTAGGTGCATGTGCATGTGTATGTCCAAAATCCCAAGAAGTGAATGGAGGGGAAAGGATTGCAGCATGGCCATTCCCTCTCCGTCTCTCTCTCTGGTGAGAGGTAAATCATATGATTTATAGTGGGAGCCTTGTGCCGTATGGTATCAGTTTAACCTCTGGAGTAGTTAGAGACTAAGTAACTAAGGTCAACCAGGTGAGTGGTCAGCCAGGCCTCCATGATCAACCTCAATAAAAGCACTGGACACCAAGGCTCTGAAGAGCTCTTCTGGTGGGCAGTGCTTCTATGCTTCGATGTAACAATTCCTTGCTGGGAGAACTAAGCACTGCTCATGTGACTCTGCTAGGCGAGCACTCCAAGAGCTTGTGCCTGGCCTCCTCTGGATGCTGCCCTATGTACCTTTTTCTGTTCTTGTACTCTCTAGTTTTTCACTGTAATAAACTGTAACTGAGTATAGCAGCTTTGCTGAATTCTGTGTGGCCTTCTAGCAAATCATTGAATCTAACAGTGGTCTCGGGGACCCCCAGTAACCATGCCTTGGAGAACTACTGTTCTAGGTTGTTGTATGAACCTCTCTAGGATTTCTCTGTGTTAGGCTTCGGGGAATCTCTCATCAATGAAGTGTCTTCTAACCTGGCTGAAGGTCACCCTGAAGGAGTGCTTTGGCTTAGAGTACCGCAGCCCCTCATCTCTATAGTCCAAGAGTCAGGAGGCTAGGAGTTGCCTGGGAGCTTTGGTGTCATGTTGCTTTGTGGGCTAACCCTGAACAATCCTTCTGGGTGTGCCTTAGTTTCCCCATCTGTATATGGAGGTTTGCAGCATTTCTGTTCTCCCCGGGTATGTTAGGGCCAGTAGAGAATATCTGGGGTTATGAATGGGGTTATTTAGTGTAGCTACCCCATTTGCACAGGCCAAGTCTGCCCTACTCACCTGAGTCAGGGATCCATAGGGAGCTGGGGCCCCCAGACTTTGGCAGATCCAGCCACTCTGCGTTGCTCCTCCTGTAACCACCTTCAGGGCATGGCACCCACTTCATAGCACTTGGACCCTCCCTGTCCCATTCTGCCCTGGCCTGAGACCAGGCCCTCAAACCAACACAGGGAGAAGGCCCCTTAGTGCCCGCTGATTTTGTGGCTTTATTCATAGACTCAGCACTTGCTGAGGATGGAAGGGAAAAACATCTGGGACCAAGTTGGGCCTAGAGATAAGGTGGCTGGGAGGCCATGCATGGGTTGGTTGGACTGGGGAGCTCACAGGAGAGAACCTGCTGGCTGGGCCAGACCTGTGTGGGGCAGGGCCGGAGGCAGGCAGCATGCAGGAGGCCTGGCTAGATCTGCACGGAGCAGATCCATCCAGGTGGTGGCTGTGAGCCAGGAGGGATGGACTGAGGTTTCTCTGGGGCAGGGGATGTGGGCGTGGGGCTGGATAGCAGGCACCCCTGTCCCTCACTCCCAGGGAAATGACGTAGTGGGACAGTCAGGACACTGGGGCCTGGTCCTGCTGCTGCCTTGGGACTTGATGTGTGACTAGCCAAGATGGTCTCCTCTGTTGTCATTCGGCTGATGCTAGGACATTGCCTTGGAGGTGACACACAGAGGGAAGTTCTGAGACATTTGTAGGGAGGCTGGAAAATCCTGGAGAGTGTGCCTAGGCCCAGCTTGGCAGGCTGTGACTATGGAGAGAAGACATTCCCAGTCAGGATTTCCCGGCTCCTCTGACCCAAGCTTTCTTTCTCAGTGGTTGGTGTTAGTTCCTGGCCATAGCCCCCAGGGGGTGCCATCTTCCACCATGATCCAGGCCTGCCACCAGGCCAAGGAAGACTATAATGTCAAGCCTTCTTTCTCTTGGCCCGCCCTGCTGGCTCCTTACTTCCTGCCTAACTGCAAACAAGGAGTCCAGAGCCCGGATCCTCCTCCCGGGCCTTCTTCCTGGTGAAGAGCCCATTCCCACCCAGCAGGGAACAGAAAAACCAGTTCCCCAGGTTTTGCTCCCTGCCTGGGAATAGCAAAGTTTGGAAAGTTGGCAGGGTCTCTCTGGGCTGTCCAGGAAGGTGACCCAGGGGCCTAGGAGACCGGGTGAGGCCTGAGCAGGTCTCTGGGGCTGAGGACACAGCCCCTGCCTGCTTTCCACTGGCCTCTCCTGGGAATTGGGATGGAGGGATGCTGTAGAGGGGGCCATCAGCATTGGCGAGAGGGGGTGCGGTGCACAGAGCCAGGGCGCTTGGGGATCTTGCGCCAGCGTCGCTTGTCCCAGCGGCAGAGAAGCAGCAGGCGGAAGGTGTCCCGGAAGGCTTTGTTGCAGAGTGCATAGCACATGGGGTTGATGGTGCTGTTGACATAGCACAGCCAGTAGCCCAGCTCCCACAGGGTTTCGGGAACACAGTCCTTGCAGAAGGTGGACACCAGCACCATGATGTTGTACGGTGTCCAGGTGAGGATGAAGGCCAGGAGGATGGCACTCAGGGTCCGGGCAGCCTTCTTCTCTTTGACCAATGAGAAGGTCTTCCTCTTGGCCAGCTGCTCCTTCCCACGGGGCTTCTGGCTCTTGCCGGTTCGATCACGCCCTTTCCGGGTGGGCCTCTTGACTGTATTTGGGGAGCTCCGAGGGGGCTGCTTGGTGGGGGCCTGTGCCTCGGGGTCCACCATGGGCATCTTGATCACCACTTCAGAGCCGGGCTCCTCGCCCTCTGAGGATGTGAGGGACTCCATGGAGCCTTCATCCTCTTCCTCTTCCTCCTTCCAGCTGTAGGCCTGAAGCAGCCTGGGGGCCCTGCAACAGCGACAGCAGCGGCCAGGAGGCGTCTCTGGTGAGCCCTCAGCCCCAGGCTGGGACCGCTCTGAGCTGCTGCTGCTGCCACCCCCTTTGCCTGGTGTCTCGGAGCCCTGTAGGGCTGCTAGTTCCCGTGCTCTGTTCTCTGTCTCCCGATAGATGCGCCAGTAGAGAGTGCACATAACTGTGACAGGGAGGTAGAAGGCGGCCATGGCTGTGCCAAAGGTGATGATGGGCTGAGAGAGGAACTGGATGTAGCACTGCCCGGCCAGCACCGTCCGCTCCCCTACCAGATACTGCCAGAAGAGAATGGCCGGGGCCCACAAGATGAAGGAAACCAGCCATGCCAGACCGATCATCAGAGCTGCCCGGCGAGGTGTGCGCTTGGCGCGGTAGCTCAGGGGCCGGGTCACGGAGAAGTAGCGGTCAAAGCTGATGAGCAGCAGATTCATGACTGAGGCATTGCTGGCCACATAGTCCAGGGCCAGCCAGAGGTCACAGGCCAGTGTGCCCAAAGCCCAGTGACCCATGAGCAGGTATGTGGTGTAGAGGTTCATGGAGAAAGTGCCAATGATGAGGTCAGCGCAGGCCAGGCTCAGCAGTAAGTAGTTATTGACTGTTTTGAGCTCTGTGTTGACTTTGAAGGAGATGAGTACCAGCAGGTTGCCTGTCACTGTTGCCAGTGACAGGAGGCCCGTGGTGATCCCAATGAAGGCCACCTGCCAGGGTCCCTTTCCCGGTGCCAGGTCAGTGATGTTGGGGCTGACGGCAGGTGAGGCCGAGGTCTTCATGGTGGCCAGGTGGGGGCGGGGGGGCAGCCCCGTCCTCTAGTCACGCTACAGAGCTTCCTCAGAGGAAGGTCATCACCTGTGGAAAGAGGACAGGGACTTTGGTTGGGCTGCTGGACATCTCTGATAACCTTGAGTGGAAAGTGCTAAGAATGCTGTTCCTGTCCATTCTGAATTTTGGGCTAGATGGTATCACCCCTCTTCCTGGTGTCCACATATACATGGTCTCTTATAGTATTTTCCCAGTCTCAAGTAGATTTGCCAGCAGTACTGGGTGGCTTTGAAATCCAGGGATCTGAGTCCTCATTCCCTTTCACCATTCATACTCTGACCTTCAATTACTATTAACTCCTGTATTGCTTAACTCATGTGGCGAGGAGCTGGGAGACTCACTTAGTATGCAGTCCTGCCAAATTTTCAAAGTGTTTCACTCAACTTATTAAAACTCTGGGACCAGCAGTTAGCGTAACGGCTATGTCGCTGAACTCCCACGTGGTCTACCGCGGTTTGTGTCTTGGGCCCTGTGGCTTAAAACTCACGCCGGGTGTGTGTGTGTGCGCGTGCGTGCCCAAGATCCCGAGAGAAGAATGGAGGAGAAGGGGTTGTGGTGTGGCCATCCCCCCTGGAGGGTGATTTCTTGCTTTCTGTCTCTGTCTCTCTCTGTCTGTCTGGCGAGTGCATGCGCCCCATAGCAAAAACCTCTCCAAAAAAAAAAAAAAAAAAAAAGAGAGAGAGAGAGAGAGAGAAAACCCTCATCTCCTGAGTAGTTACTACATGCCAGACACAGTGCTAAGCACTTAACTGAATTGTCTAATTTCACTGTTGTACATCTCTAGGAGGAAGGTCTTGTATTAGCTCCGTCTCATTGTGAGGTGGCTGTGGCTCTGAAGAGCTGCAAGGCTTGATCATGGAGACCCAACTGGTGAGTATGTGGAGCCCCCATGGGGTGCTCCCATAAATAAGGAGAGACAGGAAGAAAGGGGGGAGCTCCAAGGAAAACAGGGGAAAGACAGGAGAGTAGAGGGTGCTGCCTCTGTGTGTGTGCATGTGCACATGTACATGCATCTGTGTGTACATGATTCTCTGTTCGGGGCTGGACTAGACCCTCTGTGAGGGCAGTACAGAAAGCTGTGCTGGGCTCAGACACTTGTTACATGGTAGGAAGGTCTAGAGTAAAAGCAGGCAGTGGGACATCTTGCCAAGGAGGGACCTGGCCCCAGATGGGGTGTGGGAGGCCACCCCCTCTCCCCACTCTGTTCCTGGGCCCCAGCTGAATTGGGGGCAGCAAGGGGAACGGGAAGATCCCCAGGACGTTCTTCGGATCTGGAGTCTGGCCCTGGCACTAAAGCTGGGAAGAGAAAGGCCAGAGTCCTTAGTAACCTCCTGCAGGAGGCCCTCACAGGTAAGGTGCAGCTAGACTGAAGGGTGAGGATCCAGGCCAGCTCAGCCATGGCCTTGCTGCCATGTGATCTGGCATGCTACTTCCTGTTCTGGGCCTCATATTTCCACTAGGGAATTGGGGGTCCCTAGTCTGTGGTGACAGCTGTGGTCTCCAGGGGCTGTATTGTTGGAAATTTTTGATCAGAGAGATGTCAGGTAAGGGCCTGCCAAGCCCTGGTGTTCCTTGGGGACCTGGTCTGTGACAGAGAGACTGAAGAGCTGTGCCTGTGATAGAGGGCCTTGGTGGTGGGTGGCTGTGATTGCATGTGACCCTGGTGTGTGTGGCTGAGGGCTTCTCCACAGCTCATGAGCTGTCAGTGTGTGAAAGCAGCTTTTAACGCAGGGAATTCAGTGTAGAACAGAATGTGCTGTTAGTGTATATCTGTGTGTCTGGGACAGTTTGCCTGTGAGGGGGCATGTTAATGACACATTTGAAGAACCGAGACTCTAGAGCCAGACTCTCTGGATTGAAATACAAGCTATAGAACCAGCAGATGGCATGGTGGTTGAGGCATTGGACTCCCAAGTGGCTGACCACGGTTCCAGTCCTGGATGTGGTGGCTTGCTTTCTTACTCTCCCCCTCTCTCTCTCTCTGTGTCTCTCTCTAGTCAGATTAAAAAATAATAATAATAAATAAAATTAATAAATATTAAAAAAAAAGAAATACAAGCTATGCCATTTCCTGGGTACATAGTTATTGCTAGTAATATAACTTCTCCTTTTTTTTTTTTTGAGAGGTTTTTGCTATAGGGTGTGTTTGTTCACCAGAAAGACAGAGAAACAGAGAGACAGAAAGCAAAAAATAACCTCCCGGAGGGCCGGCCACGCTGCAATCCCTTCTCCTCCATTCTCCTCTTGGGATCTTGAACACGCATACACATGCACCAGGTGTGAGTTTAAGACACCGGGCCCAGGACTCGCAGTCGACTACATGGGAGTCCAGCGACATAGCCATTATGCCAACTGCTGGTCCCGCTAGTAATATAACTTTTGTATTCCTCGGTTTCCTCAACTGACAAAGGGCATAATACCTGACACCCAGTATGTTTTTCCATCTTCTGGGTCTAAGATTTGATCTGACCCCCTTAACCACTGGACCATGGGGCCAACCCAAGACCATCTACTTCTTTGATTGAAATCTTTGATACTGGGCCAGCAGATAGCATGGTGGTTAAGGCACTTGATCCCACATGGCCAACTGCATGATTGGGCCCTGTGGCTTGAAAAACAGGCTGGGTGTATGTTTGTGTGACCAAAATCCCACGAAGAGACTGGAGGAGAAGGGCTTGGGGTGTGGCCATTCCTCCTTGGGGTGGGGTGGGGGGTTGGTGCTTTCTCTCTCTCCTGTCTCTCTCTGGTGAGTGCTCATGTCCTGTAACCAAAAACTAAGAAAAACAAAACAAAACAAAACTCTGATATTATAATACTAGCACTGAATAATAATAATGCTCATTGCTGTTATTTAGTGTTCCCTGAGTGCCTGACACTGCTTAAGTGTTTATATGCGTTATCTCACCTACTCTGAGCAGAAACCTATGACCTAGGGATTAAGGTTGTCTCCATCTTATAGATGAAAAAACTGAGGCTAAGAAAGGTGAGAGAATTTGCAGGAGATCATGTAAAAAAGTTAGACACCTGGATTTGAGCCCAAGCAGTCTGTGACAATGAAGCTTCATTTACAAAAGCTGACAGATGGCCTGGGGATTTACCTTGATTACTGAGCTTTGTTGCACCCACTCCCTTAAGTAAAGTTAGGCACTGGACTGGAGGCTGGGATCAGCCTGGGGCTTTTCCTGGTGGGGCCTCTGGTGAACCCTAATCTTAAAATGTGGTCTTGCAAAACTCCTGACCTTTTAATCTTCTTTCTTTTTTATTTTTTTGGAGAGGTTTTTGCTATAGGGCGTGTGCGCTTGCCAGAAAGACAGAGACAGAGACAGAGAGACAGAAAGTGAGAAATTACCCCCCAGGGGGGGATGGCCATGCTGCAGTCCCTTCTCCTCCATTCTCCTCTTGGGATCTTGGGCACGCACGCACATGCGCCCAACGTGAGTTTTAAGCCACCGGGTCCAGGACGTGAACCACGGTCACTACGTGGGAGTCCAGCGACATAGCCATTATGCTAACTGCTGGTCCTCCCTTTAATCTTCTTTAAGGGATAGCCTGTGTATGTTGTGGGGGTAGAGGTAGGAAGGGGGATGGGGAGAAGGAGAACTGTCCTTGACCAAGACTTGTCATTCCTCATTCTGCATTTCCCTTTCCCCAGCCTGCCAGTCCTCAGGATCTTGAGAGCCCATGCGTGCGCACAGTGTGCTTTCAGGCTGAACCCACGGTTGGCATGTGGCGTCTAGCCTTGCAGGGCACTGCGTTCCTGCTGTGCCACACAGGATGGGCCCCTTTGACAATCTAAACCCAGTGATGTTTAAAGTCCCTTGCACAAAGGGAGCAACTGAAGCCCAAAGCAAAGGAGATAGAAGGCATCGTCTAGCCCAGGTTTCCTGGCTCCTGGACTGGGCGTTGCCTGCAACGCCATAGCCCCAGGTGCCTGGGAACAGCTCTGTGGCCCTTAATCCCGAGCAAAAAGCTGCAAAGTTGAAGTCAGACAAAACAGCTGGTCAGCCTGAAAGGCTACACCCTTCCCAGCTGCAGGGGCCTTCCTTTCACCTGGACTTGGAATAGCCGTCAAAGCATGGCTCTTTATACCTCAGCAGGACTAGTGTGAGGTGAGTCAGTATAGTACTTGCCCCAGGTGCCAAGTTTAAGAGATGTCCCAGAACTCAGTAACCAGAAAAATCATACACACACACACACACACACACACAAAATCAGGTTTTTTTTTTTTTTTTAATTGCTATAGGATGTGGGTACTTGCGGGAGAAAGAGAGAGAGAAAATGAGAAAGCAATTCCCAGAGGTGAAGGCCACACTGCAATCCTTTCTCCATTCTCTGTTGGGATTTTGGGCATGCACACATGCACACACTCCTGGTACTTTTTTTTTTTTAGTTGAGATTTTTGCAATAGGGCATGTGTACTTGCTGGAGAGACAGAGACAGAAAGACAGAAAGCAAGAAATCACCCCCTTGGAGGGATGGCCATCCTGTAGTCCCTTTTCCTCCATTCTCTTCTCAGGATCTTGGGCATGCATGTGCACGTGCCTGGCATGAGTTTTAAGCCACCGGGTCCATGATTTGAACGGCAACCAACTATGTGGGAGTCCAGCGATGCAACCACTATGCCATCTGCTGGCCTCTACTCCTGGTGTTTTTTTAAGCCACTGGGTCTGGGACTCAAACTGTGTACTTGGCTGTGTGGGATCCACACCATAACCACTATACCATCTGACTGGATATATATATACATATATATGTATATATATATATATATATATATACACACACACACACACACACACACATATATATATATACACACACACACACATATGTATAATTTTTTTCTTTTTTTGAAAGAGGGAGTGAGCGATTGTCAGAGAGAGACAGGGAGACAGAAAGAAGAGGAATGGTCACACCACCATCCATTCTCCTCCATGTCTCCCTCCTTTTGGAATTTTGGGCATACATGCACATGTGCCTGGCATGTTTCTCTAACCGCCAGGTCCGGGACTCAATGCCACTGAATA